ATGAGACCCGCCTGGTCTTCCTCAACGCGCTGCACTTCCAGCGTCTGTGGAAAGTTCCCTTCGATCCCAAACTGACGCAGGAGAGGATGTTCCACTGCGCCAATGGGAGTTCAGTTCCTGTTCTCATGATGAGGCTCACCAACAACTTCAACTACGGTACGCGGCGCCGGCGGCCCAAACTCTGCATAGAAACCGTCTACGTCCTTCTCACCCCGTTATTTTCCTTCTTTGACTTCAACAGGCGAGTTTGTGACAGTGGATGGCGTGGATTACGACGTGATAGAGGTCCCGTATGAGGGCGACTCGCTGAGCATGCTCCTGGTGTCGCCCTTTGAGCCCGACGTCCCGCTGAGCGCCCTGAGCGCCGACCTGAGCAGCCAGAGGGTTCGGCAGTGGAGGTCGGAGCTGAGGAACGTCAGGAGGCAGCTGGCCATGCCGAGGTGAGGAGGAACGGCTGCCCGGTCAGCGCCTGCTGGAAAATCACAGCAAACTGGAGCATTTCTGATCTGCTTTTCCAGGTTTTCTCTGAACTCTGAGGTGGATTTGAAGGGCACTCTGCTGAAAATGGGACTCGGAGAGATTTTCAACTTGGCTACATCTGACTTCACACGGATAACCTGTGAGTTTGAAGTATTAGCTTGTCTGCAGCTTGTTGCATGCTTTTAGTGCAGGTTTAACTATTGCACTTTTTTATGCGTCAACCAAGGACAAGCCAAGTTATTAGCAGGCATCTTTCTTCACATTACTTCTGCTCCACCAAACCGCTGCATCCAAGACCTAATGTCTTAGGTCTTGGATTTGAACGGGAAGCGATTTGTAGATGGCTGTAGACCTTCTCTGAATACATTGTAAGCTACCTCAACGGGAATGTATCCCTTTAGTCTTGTCCAAAAAATCTAATTTAATTCCTACTTTTTGTCAGAAATAGCGTTTAGTTCCAGGTTTTATCCAGCAGCCCAACAAAGCCTGGTTTTAGTTTAGAAAACATGCAGATAGAAACGGATGAACGGGTCCCCCCCTTTGGAATGGGGGTCGTTTGGCTGCTTTGTTAGCCTGCAATGCCCCATACCTGTCTATGTCTCTGAAACTAATCCGTTTGTGTCTCTGCCCGCCAGCCGACGAGAGGCTGTGTGTATCCAAGGTTCTGCAGAAGGTGAAGATGGAGGTGAACGAGCGCGGCACCGAGGGAGCCTCAGCAACAGGTAGGCCCCTCTTCCAGACTTCCTCACCCAGCTGCTACTTCTAGCTGAGCTGTTAGAAAAGACGTTCACACATCTGAGGCTGTGAGTCACCTTCCCAGCCCAGTCTGTGGAAACAGAGACCTTTTCTACGGCAGGAAATTCCTCCCTTTAAACGCTGTCAGTCTGAATAATAAGAAAACAGGGACGTAATTATCTATGACACATATGGAGTCAGAGGAGGGTGGAGCAGCTTTACTCAAGGGCAGTGGCGCCTCCAGACATGTTCCATAGGGGGGCCAGTGGGGTGGTCAGTGGGGTGGCCAATGGGGTGGCCAATGGGGTGGCCATTGGGGTGGTCAGAGGGGTGGCCAATGGGGTGGTCAGTGGGGTGGCCAGTGGGGTGGCCAATGGGGTGGCCAATGGGGTGGCCAATGGGGTGGTCAATGGGGTGGTCAGTGGGGTGGTCAGTGGGGTGGCCAATGGGGTGGCCAATGGGGTGGCCAATGGGGTGGTCAGTGGGGTGGCCAGTGGGGTGGCCAATGGGGTGGTCAGTGGGGTGGTCAGTGGGGTGGCCAATAGGGTGGCCAATGGGGTGGTCAGTGGGGTGGCCAGTGGGGTGGCCAATGGGGTGGACAGTGGGGTGGTCAGTGGGGTGGCCAATAGGGTGGCCAATGGGGTGGTCAGTGGGGTGGCCAATGGGGTGGTCAGTGGGGTGGTCAGTGGGGTGGCCAATAGGGTGGCCAATGGGGTGGTCAGTGGGGTGGCCAATGGGGTGGTCAGAGGGGTGGCCAATGGGGTGGTCAGTGGGGTGGTCAGTGGGGTGGTCAGTGGGGTGGCCAATGGGGTGGCCAATGGGGTGGTCAGTGGGGTGGTCAGTGGGGTGGCCAGTGGGGTGGTCAGTGGGGTGGTCAATGGGGTGGCCAATGGGGTGGCCAATGGGGTGGTCAGTGGGGTGGTCAGTGGGGTGGTCAGTGGGGTGGCCAATGGGGTGGCCAATGGGGTGGTCAGTGGGGTGGTCAGTGGGGTGGCCAATGGGGTGGCCAATGGGGTGGCCAATGGGGTGGTCAATGGGGTGGTCAGTGGGGTGGTCAGTGGGGTGGTCAGTGGGGTGGCCAATGGGGTGGTCAGTGGGGTGGCCAATGGGGTGGTCAGTGGGGTGGTCAGTGGGGTGGCCAATAGGGTGGCCAATGGGGTGGCCAATAGGGTGGCCAATGGGGTGGTCAGTGGGGTGGTCAGTGGGGTGGCCAATGGGGTGGTCAGTGGGGTGGCCAATGGGGTGGTCAGTGGGGTGGCCAATAGGGTGGCCAATGGGGTGGTCAGTGGGGTGGCCAATGGGGTGGTCAGAGGGGTGGCCAATGGGGTGGTCAGTGGGGTGGTCAGTGGGGTGGTCAGTGGGGTGGCCAATGGGGTGGCCAATGGGGTGGTCAGTGGGGTGGTCAGTGGGGTGGCCAATAGGGTGGCCAGTGGGGTGGTCAGTGGGGTGGCCAATGGGGTGGCCAATGGGGTGGTCAGTGGGGTGGCCAGTGGGGTGGCCAATGGGGTGGTCAGTGGGGTGGTCAGTGGGGTGGCCAATAGGGTGGCCAATGGGGTGGTCAGTGGGGTGGCCAATGGGGTGGTCAGTGGGGTGGTCAGTGGGGTGGCCAATAGGGTGGCCAGTGGGGTGGTCAGAGGGGTGGCCAATAGGGTGGCCAGTGGGGTGGTCAGTGGGGTGGCCAATGGGGTGGTCAGTGGGGTGGTCAGTGGGGTGGCCAATAGGGTGGCCAGTGGGGTGGTCAGAGGGGTGGCCAATGGGGTGGTCAGTGGGGTGGTCAGAGGGGTGGCCAATGGGGTGGCCAATGGGGTGGTCAGTGGGGTGGTCAGTGGGGTGGCCAATAGGGTGGCCAGTGGGGTGGTCAGAGGGGTGGCCAATGGGGTGGTCAGTGGGGTGGTCAGTGGGGTGGCCAATAGGGTGGCCAGTGGGGTGGTCAGTGGGGTGGCCAGTGGGGTGGCCAATGGGGTGGCCAATGGGGTGGTCAGTGGGGTGGCCAGTGGGGTGGCCAATGGGGTGGTCAGAGGGGTGGCCAATGGGGTGGCCAATGGGGTGGTCAGTGGGGTGGCCAGTGGGGTGGCCAATGGGGTGGTCAGTGGGGTGGTCAGTGGGGTGGCCAATAGGGTGGCCAGTGGGGTGGTCAGTGGGGTGGCCAATGGGGTGGTCAGTGGGGTGGTCAGTGGGGTGGCCAATAGGGTGGCCAGTGGGGTGGTCAGAGGGGTGGCCAATGGGGTGGTCAGTGGGGTGGTCAGTGGGGTGGGCAATAGGGTGGCCAGTGGGGTGGTCAGAGGGGTGGCCAGTGGGGTGGCCAATGGGGTGGCCAATGGGGTGGTCAGTGGGGTGGCCAGTGGGGTGGCCAATGGGGTGGCCAATGGGGTGGCCAGTGAGGTGACCACCCCCTGGTGGCGCCGCTGCTCAAGGGAAAGCAAATAGTATTGTGGTGAAAAGGCGACTCAGATCCAGAGTAACTGATCTATCTGTTGCATTCATTGTGTTATTATTTAGAGGTTTGGTTTACCTCCATTTACCAGTAGAGAGTTAAAAAGAAGAAGTAGCTCCGCGTCTGCTAGTCTATTTGTTGTTTAAAATTGCATCTGTTTTTTGTGGGATTTAAAGTTGTAAAATGTATCTGATGACGTTCCTGTCTCTTCCAGTTGCTGTCATGTTCTCCCGCATGGCTGTCCAGGAGATCACCCTGGACCGACCGTTCCTCTTCCTCATTCAGCACAAGCACACTGGTAACATTCCTACTTATTCTGATTGAGTCAAACACCAGCAGCGGAGTGAGCAGCTTCTCATTGGCGCCTTCTCTGTTTTCAGGTGCTCTTCTCTTCATGGGTCAGTTCAACCATCCTGAATAACAACGCCTCACAGACCGACCGCCATCATCAACCCCACAGCGTGTGACTACTACTGCTTCTACGTCCTCCCGACGACCACGAAGCCGACACTCTACGTGTTTCAGCGATGGTTGTCGTTATTCAAGGACGCCCTTATTTATAGTGACTGAAGAAAATTACTGGGAGTGCTTGGACTTCATATAGAAGAAATGTATATCTTGGCTATTTATTTATTGTTTTAAATGTGTGAAGTTAGGGAGCTGAGGCAGAGGCATTTCTTGTAAGAAATAAGGTTTGCATTTATTAAACGCCATCAGACAGAGAGATAGAGCTCTGACTGAGGCAAACTCAGAACATACATTTATTACCAATACACACAATTCCCCCAGGGGAACCAACCCACCCCTGCATATAAAGAACTTTCTCACACATTTGGAGGAAAAACAACTTTTGTTCTTTAAAGCCGTTCCCTGTTAGGTAAATCTATCTTTCACTGGTCAGATGGATCTCCTAATAACAGCAGTCCTCCCCTTCATGCCATGAAAGAGGCTCTGTGACTCATTCTTATTTCTCAAGATCTTCGTTTAGAGCCTGTGAGGCTAAGAACAGACAGACCTCAACATTTTTTACTCCACAAATGTTCGGGTTGATAAAACAGGGAAGAATTTGAAGCAACGCTGACAGGTTTCCAAAGACAGAATTGCTTCTCTCTGCATTTGTGCCAAATAATTAATGTTTTTTTTTTTATATTTAAATGTCCTGCAAACTTAATTGTGTAATATGTGTGTGTTGTTACAAACGTTTATATTTTTGCAATGTTTTAATTAAAGATTTCTTAATGTTTCTTAATGCCTTTGTAATTTTTTCGAAAATTATGTTCATTACAAAACATTTTAAATGAAAAACTAGGAGCAGAAGGAATAAAAATTATGTTAAATAACTTGAAGAAGAGAGAAAAAAACATTAAATACTCAAAAAATATTATTCAGAGTCTAGAAGAATAGTGTAGTATGATTAAAGCCGTACCAGAATGAACGATGGAAGATCTGCTTCTTCCAATATGGCGGACATCCTGACGTATCGCAGAAATCATAGACATTATATACGTCATTGGATGCCGAGGTGCATAGAGGGCGGCCATTTTGGATCAGACCATCGTTCAGAAAGCTGCTGTCTAATTTTACAATAATCTCTTACATGTCACAACCCTTTAAAAGACCAAAACACATTTTAAAATGACCTTTACATTAGATTACACAGATTTATTCAGATTAAAAACGATTAAACTGAACTCAAGTTTTATATCAATATATTATAAGTTTATGTTTAACTAATATTATATATTTATATAGTATATTACATTGTTTTGGAAGAAGTTTAAACAAACATAAGAAGAAAAGCATTTAATTAGACACAACATGAATTTACCATTCACTACGATTTGACAAAAAAGTCTTGACAATGACAAAAATAAATAAAAATTAAAATAAAATCCATAAAAAACCTAAATAATAACTTTATTCTCTTTTGTAAATCACATTACAACAAATGCTCCACTATAGATCATAATGCTCATCATCAACGAGCAATCCTTAAAAATACTGAATAATAACAATAATATACTATATAGATATATAATATTTGTAAAACAGAATCTTATATAAGTAGAAACTTTGTGTTTGATTAATATTTCATTTCAAAATATATAACTTTGCATATATCCCATCCAGTTTGAGTTCAGTTTATATAGTTTTTAATCTGACTAAATGTGTGTAATCTAACTGAAAGGTAATTTTAGAATTTGTTTTGTACTCTTAAGGGGTTGTGACGTGTAAGATATTATTGTAATATTAACTCTGACTCGTTTTTCATTGATTGAAACTGGATCTCAGGCGCCTCCTGTTCATTTTGACAGCGGCTGTGTGAACTATGGTCCGATCCAAGATGGCCGCCCCCTAGGCACGTCGGCCAGCGTCCAATGAGACGTCAACGGAAGTGAAAAATATGGCAGACTATTTTGGCATTTATTAGCTTGACTGAACATGTAATCCAGATGTTTTAAATGCATTTATTTATAATCAAAATGAGCATTTCAGATATCTAAAATGTAATTTTTACTAGTACAAATTTCCCATTCATATCTGGCATTTATTTCTGGATATCTAAATTTTCAATAATGCCTGTTTAAAATGTGATTTTAGATACTTTCAAAAGAATAACGAGGCTCCGATTTAACATAAAATAAGCAACTGACTAGTCACATTTCTATTATAGATCACACTAAAGCATTCTACCTAGTCACAATTACAATGTTCCTCATAAGAATTGTCTTTTAGGTATAGTTAGAACCCTAACCCTAACCCTACCGTTAGAAATCAAATTTTAAGTATTAACTATAAGTAGTAACTATATTTCAGATATCTACAAATCTTTACTAATTTTAAGTGGCCAATTTAACATATATTTGTTTGTATTTCAGATATCTTACCAAAAATAAACATTTCGGATATCTGAAATATAATTCTGCCCCATTTCTTTTTTGAATGTTAGTCAAAATATATTTTTAAGTATCTAAAACTGTATTTTGGATAGGAATTATTAAAATTTAGATATCTGAAATTCCATTTTAACTAGTCATGTATCAATAGTTGATATCTGTAATTATATTTCTACTGGTAGAAATATTTTTTAGATGTCAATAATTTGATTTCTGTATATCTGTAATGTTATCTTGATTTTTGATATCTGAAATAGTAATTATGAGTAGCAGTAACTCTATTATGGAGATCTGAAATTAATTTAATCCTCGTCAGAATTCATTTTTAGATAGGAAGAATGTTATTTTAGATAATGTGAAAAGTTCATTTGTACTGGGAAGAAATGCATTTGAGACATCTGAAATATACATTCAGTCAAGCTAATAAATGTCAAAAAAGGCCACTTAAAATTTGTAAAGATTTGTAGGTATTTTAAAGTTTATTTTTACTAGAACAATTATATTTTTGGCAGCAAAAAAATGTATTTTTTGCTATTTAAACTGTCATTTAGAATATCTATATGTACATTTCTGACTAGCAGGAATGTAGTTTTGACCAGGAAGAATCTTATTTTAGAGATCAACAAATGGCTCCTAATAAATGTCAAAATGGCCTGCCATACTCCTTAAACCCAACGTGTACATTTCTATTGGTCCACTACCGTGCTGACGTGAGTGAAGGGCTGAAGTGCGCATGCTCAATGGAGGCAGCCTCGCTCAGTTTGTGTTTCACTGCAGAGGAATATTTGCTTTAATGTCGAAATAAGCGGACAGTAATGGATTATCAACTTTAGCCAAACGGTACATCACACCCGGAATTCAAAGGCTGTGACGTTCGAGAGAAGCTTGAAAATCCCCGCATAATGGTAAGTTTGTGCCTCTCACCTGGTTGAATGAGGAAGAAGCTAACATGCTAATGCTAGGAAGGTGTTCGCTTCCAGGAAGTGTGCACCTGCGCTACGGTTACCTGTCTGCTCAGCTAACAGGCCTCCTGGCGTCAGACGGCCCCGCTGTTAGCTTAGCATCGCTAGTTAGCATCGCTCGGGTCAGTATTGGTCCAGGATCTGAATGTTTGGAGTCCAGGAGGCAGAAATAATCACATTTATTCCACAGAAGTTTCTGGAATTTATCCTGCATCCGTTTAACGCGCAGATTTATTCTACATATTTATTAATAATCCTTTAGCTGCTGCTGCACCGGGTTAAATTTTACCCTGAAACTATTAAAAATATCATATTTCTATGAGAAAACATGGAAACTAATGAAAATCTCAGATTATAATCTTTGAACTGATTAATTCTGGACTAAATAGAGTTAAAAGATAAATTAAACTTTGCTTTAGAAAGTCTGGGTGTTTTTTCAGTAAACAGAAGTTTCTTTGTTTATATTTTTTCCCATTATGACCACGTGACTGGTCACATGTTTATTATTTTTATTGATGTGACCCCTGAGCAGGTCAGCTGTGCAGGCCCCCCCATTCTTACCCTTTGGGCAAGTGACTTTCACATTTCATTTGCCCAGAAACAATTTTTACTTGCCCATTATAATGTTTGATAAATATAGTTCCTAATATAAATTTTTGTGTATATATATCAATGAAACATGTTTATTTTTAAAATGTTTTTTTTTTAATTCAGATAATACTATTAATATAATGTGACTTTTCTAGAGAATCATTAAACATATTTATTTTACACAGTCATATCCCAAATTTAGGTCTTGTTGCCAAACATGTTCATTTATCCAGATAAAATCTTAAAGGGGTTGTAGGTGTTTTGCTACTGCAGGTGTATTTCCTTCTCCTCAGTAATCCAGACTGATGACCCGGTGAGGGTCGGCCTGGATGGGAAGGAGAGAACGCAAACAGAAGCAAACCACTTCTTACATGTTTCAGACTGTTTGGATTATTGAACTTTATAAGGAAAAAAGTCTAAATATGGGCAATAATACAGACAAAGCTGCTGGCACCTTTAAGTGGCACCTAGAAATGAATTAATATGACCAAATTAAAATAATAATGTTCAATTAAATGTATTAATTTCAATGCTATGATGCCTTAGTAGGGGATACATTTTTTTGTGCATAAAATTTGTTCAAATTATGCTATATAATATCAGAAATGTGGGTGAGCTGGAGGGAGGGTGAAGGATAAAAGTGGCTGTTTAGTGAATGGATGAGGATGGGTGGAGGGTAAAGACGATCTCCGATGCTAAGTGGGTGGAGGGTGTGTTACTATACTTACATTGTTTTGCCTTGTTGTTGTTTTTTAGCCGGGCAAGTAGAAAAAAAACTGTTTGATTCGCGCCAATTCCCGCACAAAAATCACGCCATCTGGCGGTAAATCCCGCGGCTTTTTCAAATCACGTGCTTTTTTCAAATCACGCGAGAATATGTACAAAACAACAAAAATGCTGCCGGCAACACTTCTGGGTTGTTTTCATCAAATGTTGTTGATTTTAAAGTAATTTTGAGTGCTAACTTTTTTTTGTGATCGTTGCACTTGCCTGGCGGGCAAATTAATTGAAATTTGTACTCTACTGACAATAAAAACTACTAGCCCCGGGAGATGGTTAACATTAGTGTTGCACCGATAATGATACCAGTACCGGACGGGGCCCCAATACTGCCCTAAAATGGTGGTATCGGTATCAGTGAGTACCAACCAATAGGGCACCAATACCATTTAGAGCCAAAAGTTTCTTCAACTATTGTCACTAGGGCTGCAACTAATGATTATTTTAAAAATCGATGAATCAGCCGATTATTTTTTCGATTAATCGATGAATCGGACAAAAAATATTTTTGATATTAAACCTCTTTATTCCAAAATAAACATTTTAGACAGAACGAACAAGCACACAAGTACAGGTTGCTCATTAACTGACTGGTGCAATATGAAAAATAAATGTTTGTGTTAAAACTACGCAAACTGACATGAGAAATGTAGCTGTACATCCACAAAATATAGGATACTTTGTTTCATAAAGCGCAAAAAAAGACATTTTTGTTTTTAAAAGCCCCTAAGGGGTTCAAACAATAGGCCCCCCCATTTCAACAAATGAGTTTTTTAGACTAGAAGAGTTCTGCCTTTTAAGACAGGAAAGTATAGCAGTTAAAGTTGCTACTTGAGAAAATACTGAACCATAGAGATAAAAATAGCTCTGTGATTCAAATTATAAATTGTATTTGGAATAAAAATGAGAGAACTAGGGGTGCTAAAAAACACATCCTCCAAAGACAGATATTTACATGGGAATGTGGCAGATAATTAATTGACATATTACTGATCTTGCTGGATTTTATTCTGCTTTACTTCCATAAATTGCAGGATCTTCTTTACTTTATCTTTGCCAGAAGATTTAAACTTTAAAAGTCTTGCCCTCATAATTTGCAAGTTAATTTATTTATAAAGTAAATATAAACACTGCTTAAGCTAATTCAAATGAAATTAAAAGTAAAATAAGTAGCCAACCTTATCACTGTCTGTAACCTACTAACACGGTAAGGAAAGCATCAGATGAGCTACCTGAGAAACTAACGTTACGTTTCCCCACTTTAAAACCAAACAAACATGGTGCTTCCGTGCCATGATCGATTTGCGCCGTCAATCCCGGCGCATGCGCGCTTCGTTTGCAGTCTGGATGCTGAGGCTCTGACTGCAGCGCTGAGAGGGACTCCTGTGGGAGAACGGGGTTGGGATGGGGGAGGCGCCCCACGGCAGGCAAAAGCCGCCAGTGACACCGTAAAAAGTCGCCAGATTTGTCGCTAGTCGCTTTTTTGAAAAATAGTCGCTGGACGGGTCTGAAAAGTCGCTGAGTTGGCAACACTGCAACTGCGGCGCTGACTCGCTCCGCCATATTTCTTTTTTCTTCCCCCGGATGACGGCGACGGCGGATGCAGCATTAATCGCGCGACACAACTAATCGATGATTAAATTCGTTGCCTAAAATATATATATATATATATACACTATATTGCCAAAAGTATTTGCTCACCTGCCTTGACTCACATATGAGCTTAAGTGACATCCCGTTCCTAATCCATAGGGTTCAATATGACGTCGGTCCACCCTTTGCAGCTAGAACAGCTTCAACTCTTCTGGGAAGGCTGTCCACAAGGTTTAGGAGTGTGTTTATGGGAATTTTTGACCATTCTTCCAGAAGCGCATTTGTGAGGTCGCACACTGATGTTGGACGAGAAGGCCTGGCTCTCAGTCTCCGCTCTAATTCATCCCAAAGGTGTTCTATCGGGTTGAGGTCAGGACTCTGTGCAGGCCAGTCAAGTTCATCCACACCAGACTCTGTCATCCATGTCTTTATGGACCTTGCTTTGTGCACTGGTGCACAGTCATGTTGGAAGAGGAAGGGGCCAGCTCCAAACTGTTCCCACAAAGTTGGGAGCATGGAATTGTCCAAAATGTCTTGGTATGCTGAAGCATTCAGAGTTCCTTTCACTGGAACTAAGGGGCCAAGCCCAGCTCCTGAAAAACAACCCCACACCATAATCCCCCCTCCACCAAACTTTACACTTGGCACAATGCAGTCAGACAAGTACCGTTCTCCTGGCAACCGCCAAACCCAGACCCGTCCATCAGATTGCCAGATGGAGAAGCGCGATTCGTCACTCCAGAGAACGCGTCTCCACTGCTCTAGAGTCCAGTGGCGGCGTGCTTTACACCACCGCATCCGACGCTTTGCATTGCACTTGGTGATGTATGGCTTGGATGCAGCTGCTCGACCATGGAAACCCATTCCATGAAGCTCTCTGCGCACTGTTCTTGAGCTAATCTGAAGGCCACATGAAGTTTGGAGGTCTGTAGTGATTGACTCTGCAGAAAGTTGGCGACCTCTTCGCACTATGCGCGTCAGCATCCGCTGACCCCGCTCCGTCAGTTTACGTGGCCTACCACTTCGTGGCTGAGTTGCTGTCGTTCCCAAACACTTCCATTTTCTTATAATACAGCTGACAGTTGACTGTGGAATATTTAGGAGCGAGGAAATTTCACGACTGGATTTGTTGCACAGGTGGCATCCTATCACAGTTCCACGCTGGAATTCACTGAGCTCCTGAGAGCGACCCATTCTTTCACAAATGTTTGTAAAAACAGTCTGCATGCCTAGGTGCTTGAATTTATACACCTGTGGCCATGGAAGTGATTGGAACACCTGATTCCAATAATTTGGATGGGTGAGCAAATACTTTTGGCAATATAGTGTATATATATATATATATATATATACAATACCCCATTTAAAGTACCCTTGAAAAACCGTGCAGAGACCGGTCCGAGCTCAGTAACTGAGGTAACTTATCGTGTGTAAATGGAAAGCAAACTGAACCGGACCGAGCTAGACGCAACCGGACCGAGCTAGACGCAACCGGACCGAGCTAGACACAACCGGACCGAGCTAGACACAACCGGACCGAGCTAGACACAACCGGACCGAGCTAACTGCAGACCAGTTCCAGAGGTGGGCTCGGCTCGGTTTTTCCCTGGCTCGGTTCTCTGATAACAAGAGCGCATGAGCAGAACGCGTCATCTCCGTCTGGCTGCACATCGCAATTCACACTCCATTCCACTAGTTGGCGGTAATGCCCCTCCGGAAACAGAAGAAGAAGAACAACTTCTTCTTCAACTATAAACAAAAATCGAAATTTTCTCCACGCAACATTTTAAATAATAACACCGAAGTACAGCAACAATAATCAAGCATAACTTTCTGAATGTGACGGGCGCCGCCATTTTGATTTGCTTGATTCCCTCCTTCGTCTTCTTGTGTTTTATGGCGGTTGGCAAACAACTTTTGCTGCATTACCGCCACCAACTGCTTGATTTCCTCCTTCTATACTGGCAGTAATACCGCAGATCGTCACTAGGAGGCGAGGAACCGAGATAGCGTGATGCGTAAACGGTCGTCAGAACCGAGCTAGGCCTGGTTAACTGATCCGAGCTCGGACCGGTCTCGGCATGGATCGGTTTTTCAAGGGTAGCGTAAATAAATAAATAAATATATATATATAAATTAGGGCTGCAACAACGAATCGATAAAATCGATAAAAATCGACTTTTAAAAGCGTTGGCAACGAATTTAATCATCGATTAGTTGTGTCGCGCGATTAATGCGTCATCCGCCGCCGCCGTCATCCCGGGGAAGAAAAAAAAAATATGGCGGAGCGTGTCAGCGCCGAAGTTGCAGTGTTGCCAACTCAGCGACTTTTCAGACCCCTCCAGCGACTATTTTTCAAAAAAGCGACTAGCGACAAATCTGGCGACTTTTTAGGGTGTCACTGGCGGCTTTTGCCTGCCGTGGGGCGCCTCCCCCATCCCAACCCCGTTCTCCCACAGGAGTCCCTCTCAGCGCTGCAGTCAGAGCCTCAGCATCCAGACTGCAAATGAAGCGCGCATGCGCCGGGATTGACGGCGCAAATCGATCACAATAATTAAAATAGCCTGCGCTTTGTAAAGTGAAAAAAGTCGTAACATGCAACTTTTGTAAAAATAAATGAACATGGCACGGAAGCACCACTGTTATGATGCAGCACCTGAAAAGAAAACACGTTGGAGCCTCGATGGCAGTGAAGAGAGCTGATCAGCAGGGTGGGCGGCCATGTTTGTTTGGTTTTAAAGTGGGGAAACGTAACGTTAGTTTCTCAGGTAGCTCATCTGATGCTTTCCTTACCGTGTTAGTAGGTTACAGACAGTGATAAGGTTGGCTACTTATTTTACCTTTAATTTAATTTAATTAGCTTAAGCAGCGTTTATATTTTCTTTATAAATAAATTAACTTGCAAATTATGAAGGCAAGGCTTTTAAAGTTTAAATCTTCTGGCAAAGATAAAGTAAAGAAGATCCTGCAATTTATGGAAGTAAAGCAGAATAAAATCCAGCAAGATCAGTAATATGTCAATTAATTATCTGCCACATTCCCATGTAAATATCTGTCTTTGGAGGATGTGTTTTTTTAACACCCCTAGTTCTCTCATTTTTATTCCAAATACAATTTATAATTTGAATCCCAGGGCTATTTTTATCTCTATGGTTCAGTATTTTCTCAAGTAGCAACTTTAACTGCTATACTTTCCTGTCTTAAAAGGCAGAACTCTTCTAGTCTAAAAAACCTCATTTGTTGAAATGGGGGGGCCTATTGTTTGAACCCCTTAGGGGCTTTTAAAAACAAAAATGTCTTTTTTTGCGCTTTATGAAACAAAGTAGCCTATATTTTGTGGATGTACAGCTTCATTTCTCATGTAAGTTTGCGTAGTTTTAACACAAACATTTATTTTTCATATAGCACCAGTACAGTTAATGAGCAACCTGTACTTGTGTGCTTGTTTGTTCTGTCTATAATGTTTATTTTGGAATAAAGAGGTTAATATAAAAAATTTTTTTTGTCCGATTCATTGATTAATCGAAAAAATAATCGTCCGATTCATCGATTTTTAAAATAATCGTTAGTTGCAGCCCTAATGTCAATTAATTATCTGCCACATTCCCATGTAAATATCTGTCTTTGGAGGATGTGTTTTTTAGCACCCCTAGTTCTCTCATTTTTATTCCAAATACAATTTATAATTTGAATCACAGGGCTATTTTTATCTCTATGGTTAAGTATTTTCTCAAGTAGCAACTTTAACTGCTATACTTTCCTGTCTTAAAAGGCAGAACTCTTCTAGTCTAAAAAACCTCATTTGTTAAAATGGGGGGGCCTATTGTTTGAACAAAACAAAAATGTCTTTTTTTGCGCTTTATGAAACAAAGTACCCTATATTTTGTGGATGTACAGCTACATTTCTCATGTAAGTTTGCGTAGTTTTAACACAAACATTTATTTTTCATATTGCACCAGAACAGTTAATGAGCAACCTGTACTTGTGTGCTTGTTTGTTCTGTCTAAAATGTTTATTTTTCAATAAAGAGGTTAATATAAAGAATATTTTTTGTCCGATTCATCGATTAATCGAAAAAATAATCGTCTGATTCATCGATTTTTAAAATAATCGTTAGTTGCAGCCCTAATATAAATATATACCGTATTTTCCCGACCATAAGGCGCACCGTACTAAAAGGCGCGTTTTTTATATACAGGTACATGTCCTCTACTACCTTTAAATACCTCTACTGCGTATTTAAAAATACAGCGGGGGCAAAACTGAGTATGACTGTGCTTTATTCATGTATTTATTACAAAGTATTAATCAAACCTGGGAGCTGGCCGTGAGACAGACACATCGCAGATGACACAGCGCTGTGATCACTCCTAAATTAACTTAAAATCCTGAAACCTGCCGACGGAATATGTTCGCTTTTATTACCGGCATCCTGGTGCCTGCAGTTTAAATTATTTAGATGAAAAACACCTGCCAGCAGCCGCGGTGAATGAAAGGATTTCTGCTGTCAGCGCACCGCTGGTATGTGGGGGTCTGAGCGCCTCCGACAGAAATAGATAATCTGAATGAACTGACTGCAATTATTAAGTTTTCAGGTGGACTTTCTCACTTAAAAACATATTAAAACTACTTTATTCCCACTGATCACAGCAAATATAGCTGCAAGATTTAGATTATTTAGATGAAAAAACACCTGCCAGCCACCGCGGTGAAGAGGAGGAGACCCGCCCAGAGGCTGCTGTTGAGTTAAGTTTTCAGGTAGAAAAATAGAGCAGGAGCAAACCTGAGTATGATTGTGCTTTATTCAAGTATTTATTACAAAGTATTAATCAAACCCATCAAAGTCATCATCCTCTGTTTCTGAATTAAACAGCTGCGCTAAATCAGACATGCCAGTTTCCCCTTCTTCGCTGTCAGTCACTTTCCGTGCAGCGCGGCTCCTCAGAAATAATGCCGGCTTTTGTGAAAGCTTGAACAGCAGAGCCAGCAGACACGTTAGTCCAAGCATCTACAATCCGTCCGCAAACGGTGGCGTAACTTGCCCAACGCTGACTTCCACTTATCCTGAAACTGTGGTCTCCGTCGGTCATCCATCGCTCCCACGCCGCTCGCAGCCTTACTTTGAACGGCCGCTTCACACCGATGTCGAGCGGTTGAAGTTCCTTTGTCAGACCCCCCGGGATAACGGCGAGCACAGCGTTCATTTGATTCACCTTTTTTTCACATCAGCTGTGAGATGGGCACGCATGGAGTTACATATTAACAGCGGATGGTGAGGGGTGGAAAAAACCACCTGGTCTCCTTACATTCAGCCACTCTTTCATCATCTCCTCAATGAGGTGGTCTCAAAAGTCGCAGTTACAACACACATAAGGCGCACCGCACATTTTGAGGAAAAAAAAAGACGTTTAAGTGCGCCTTATAGTCGTGAAAATACGGTATATATATATATATATATATATGTGTGTATATTTACACATACACAGAAACTTTGAATGAGCTCTTAAATAAGTGAAAAATATTTATTAAGAATAAAAAAACAGATTTATTTATTTAAGGCAAGCATCTCAGGTAACATTTAAATGTTTATATTTACGAATAGAGATCTTTCCAGTTTTTATTTTATAAAATATGCAGCATATTTTCCTTTCCATACCTGCTCCAGTCGCATTAGATCCCACTTATAGATTTAAAAATGTTCTGCTGAAAATCTTTCCTAAGCAGCTGTCTATTATTTCACACCCGCCGCCTGCACAAGACGTTAGATTAGCATTTATCCTTTTAGTTCGGACGAAAAACAGACTTTAAACTACATTAACGGGCGCGTTTCCCTTTAGTCATGTATTATAAAAATAAAACAAGTTAAGGTCAGATCGCCATACGCTTAAAAAAACACCAAAACACCAAAAGAGATATAGAAATAAACTGAATTATGGTGACAGATCTGGTTGTTTGCAATAATCTGAGCCAAGATGTTGAATCAGAGCAAGTTATAGAGACAAAATACTAGATTAAAACCCATTTTTCTATCCATTTTTTTGCTCAAAGACTGAACCAACTCATTTGAATTTGAATGCTAACGTATCCGTTGGTTTGTAGATGCGCTTCATGCTGCTGTTCAGCCGGCAGGGGAAGCTGCGGCTGCAGAAGTGGTACACGGCCACGGCGGAACGAGACAAGAAGAAGATGGTCAGGGAGCTGATGCAGATAGTCCTCGCACGCAAACCCAAGATGTGCAGCTTTCTGGAATGGAGGGACCTCAAGATCGTCTATAAAAGGTACAAAACCATCATTTCTGGACATCATGGGTGTTATTTGGTGAAATTAGCTGCTGCCTGAGCTGCTTTAGAGCTCCTAACTAATAATCCTCCCATCATTCGTCCCTTTAGCCGCCCAGCTCGTCATCACTCAGGTTTAACGTAGCTCACATGTATGGCTGCTAACGATACAGAACATTTCAGTAAGCAGATTTTGTTATAGAATCTCATTTTACTTTTTTGTGCCATTCTAGATTAAATAAATCTATGCTTTCACTCATAATCTATAACGGTTCTATATCCTAACCTGATAATAACCATAAACATTAAACTGCACCCAAAACAAACCTGTTCACACTTTAGCAGCTTCTAATTTCCGGCAATATTTCTACGCTCAAATGAACAGCTCCTCCGGCCTCCTTTTTAATACAAGAATAAAGGTGGAACTTTATCATAATAATGGTGTAACATTATAAAGTCATGAAATTATGAGAATAAAGTAGTAATATTATGAGAATATATGTAATATTTCAAGAATAAAATCATAAAATTAAGATAATTTAGTCATCATACGGAAACCTAGCCTGGGTGCCATTCCGAACTTAGTCCCGCCCACAACGTTTGAGGTCGGGAAGTTTGATCTGGCATTGCTCAATAGTAGAGACTGACATTTTTTTGGGAATCCCACGGGTCACGGGATTCCCGAGGGATGGGAGTCAGTATTAGTAACGATCAGGTGATTGGGACGGTACAGGATTAAACATTAACGGGAGCAGACGGGAGCGGGAGCAAACAAATAGTAACTAAAAAAAGAAAACTAGGATCGATGCCAAAACATAAAATAAAATAGAAAGAAAAAAAATCCAGTACTGGCGCCGCCATTTTGTAGTTTTTTTCCTTGAAGCCTACACTATAATGCGAGTCAAAAAAACTACACGATCCAAAAACCAACAGTGCTTCCGCTCTGAGTTTTTCACCTGCGCTCAAAAACAACAAGAATGGGAGTGGTGCAGGAGCGGGAGTCATTCTGAATGGGAGCGGGAGTAATTTCACCAGGAGTGGGACGGGACAGGATTTAGATTTCTACTCTGGCCCGGGATCGGGATGGGACACCATTTTTTTCTGTGGGAGTGGGACGGGACAGGAGTGAAAATCCACTCCCGTGTCAGTCTCTACTCAACAGTAGCGCGAGTATGCTCGCACAATATCAGGCGATCCAATCAAATTGTCAGGGCGGGCTTTATACGATGATGGACAGATGATCAACAGTAACGTAATCAACCACGTGACCAAAGCGCGCTTGGGTGACAACAACAATGGCTGCCGCTGGAGAGTTGAGGTGAGTAGATTCTGCTATTAGGTCTGTTCTAGAAGATATCGACAGCAAATACATTTTAAAAGAGGACCAGAGAAACGCGATCAAGGCTCATCTTCTTATTCTAGGCGTGCAACTGCACGCTTTGGTTTTTGTGGACAACAACTATGCGTCGCTTAACATACGTCACGCACTCCGTTGCTCTTATTGGTTGTAGGTCTATCCAATTGAGTGCAGAGGCATTTTTTTTCCTGGTTCGTTCGAAACACGCCCCATAATCACAGCTCTGTGGAGCAGCATCAGACTCATTCTGACTAGAATTGAGGAGGACTACGTCAGGCTAACGGAAACCTGTTTCAGGAAGAAAACTCGGAGCAGCAGATGAAAGCAGCTACTGATAATCATTTGATGCTAAAAGACGTAATATTTCCTTTTATTAGATAAATTGATGCTAAAGTATAATTTAACAAGATGCTCCACATTCCTCATGTTGGGAAAACGATGCTTCTGGTCATAAAATCCAACTTTATTCGGATTATGTTATGATTTTACTCTCATAATGTTATTACTTGATTCTCATAAATTTATGATGTCATTCCTGTAATTTATAATTTTATTCTTATAATATTGTGAGTTTTGTCTTGTAAATTTACTACTTTATTCTGCTAATATTATGACTTGATTCTAGTAAATATGCAACTTTATCCTTATGTTCTGATTTTCTTCTTTTAATTTTGCGACTGTATTCTCATAATATTATGACTTGATTCTCTTAACGTTCCAACTTTATTTTTGGAATTTTATCGTTTCATTCTTATAATATTATGACTTTTGTTCTCATAAATTTACAACTTTATTCCTGTAATATTGTGACTAGCAGCGTTTTATTATTTAGCTGTAAAGAAAAAATTGTTTGTATGCTAGTTATTTGGAAAACGAGCACAAATTGGTTCCTTTCTCTTTTAATTTTAAACTTTTCTTTTTATTTCAATTCTATTCAGTTTATTTCTATAGCTCCAATTCACATCATGTCATCTGAGATTTATAGATCCAGTTCACCAGATCATCCAGTCAGATTGATTCAAAGTTTTCTATCCAAGGAAAACCAGCTGATTGCATCGACTCATTGACTCTTCAGCAATCCCTCACACTAAGCATGCTTGTAGCGACAGTGGAGAGGAAAAACTCCCTTTGAACAGGAAGAAACCTCCAGCAGAACCAGGCTCAGTGTGAGCGGCCATCTGCTGAGGCCCACTGGGGTTCAAGGAGACAGAAGCAGACATAGAAAAAGAAGCATAGATACAAAAGGCAACTGTCAACCAGCTCCACAGGCGGCCCCGTCCAGGAAACACACAGCCAGGCAGACGAGCTCCGAGCCAGCTCCCATGTCAGAGGATGAAGAGAGCACATCCAGTTAGTCACAGTCAGAGAAACAGGACTACACTGGAAAACAGGCCAAGCTCCAACATCTAGAAACAAAGGTGTTGATGGCAGCAGCACAGCTGATATTTCTCTCCAGGATGGAGTCACAGCCAAACAGGAACAGACCAGATGAAGCTACTATGAGAAAAAGCAGAGAGAGCAGAACGTTAGAGATTGAACTAACAGATTCTGCAGAGTGGGAGAATAGAGATAGAATGAAGCAGAATGATGAAAAAGGGGTCCCTATGTCCTCCAGCAGTCTAAGCCTATAGCAGCAGAACTATAGAGAAAAAATGAAAGTTTACATCTAAAAAGTAATCAGGATAATGTGGAAATTAAAAGAACGATCACCTCAGAAGTACCTAGAAATGTTTTCTATATTGACGAAAGGTTTCTGCAGCTGAATAAAAACATTCCTGAGTTCTTCAGCAGCAGATCCATCCCTCCATCCAGCGTTCTTTTAGATGCCTCTCCTCTGCGTTTCCGCCCATGCAGGTACGCCAGTCTATATTTCTGCTGCGCCATCGAGGAGCAGGACAACGAGCTGATCACGCTGGAGGTCATCCACCGCTTCGTGGAGCTGCTGGATAAATACTTTGGCAGCGTAAGTGATGGAACCTGAGCGCCTCTGCTTGTGAATACTGACCAGCTGGATGATGGTGCTTGATGCAAAGGCTTGATGCGTGTTTCTGCAGGTGTGTGAGCTGGATATAATCTTTAACTTTGAGAAGGCTTACTTCATTTTAGACGAGTTCCTGATGGGAGGAGAGATTCAGGACACGTCCAAGAAGAGCGTCCTCAAAGCCATCGAACAGGCCGACCTGCTGCAGGAGGTAAATCGCCATGGAAACCGCTCGCATTGGTTATCGGTTTACTTTTGTGCAAAACGATTGAAACACAGTGGGTACAGAAACAGTTTCATATATTAGGAGATATGCTAGGGATGCAGAATATTGGGATTTTGTCCGATATCCGATATTTTAAAACTCATGTAGCCGATAACCGATATCGATACCGATGTTAAAGCTGGACAAAAATAAGTAGTCATTGAAAATAGCAGTTTTGTTATCCATTTCTGACACTTTGAAAAATAATAAACTCAAATATATTTTCATATGCTGATATCAAATTGATTTTTAAAAACGCGGTATCGATCTATTTTACTTTCAAAATCTGGTGAAATTTCATCGTTCTGTTACAAACTCTCGTGATATTTTGCAAATTCTTGTGAGATTTTGTTAGTAAAATAGATCGATACCGCGTCAATATATCAACATATAAAAATATGGCAACATTTGGTGAATTTTCGGGGGATTTCGTAGCATAACGATGACATACAGCAATATTTCATTAGTAAAAGAGATTGATATGGTGTTTTTAAATGGCAATATATCAGCATATGAAGATATTGGGATATTTTAATGGATCAATATTTTTTCCTCGTCTTTAGAAGTTTTTAAGTCTGTAAAAAAGAAGTTTTTGAGGAAGAAGAAGAAGTAGTATTTATTTATTTTTTTTAGACTTTAGAAACTCAGAAGCTGATCAAATATCGGGTTAAATATCGGTGGGGTGGCCGATGTCCGATATTCAGTTTTAAGGCCGATACCGATAGGGGGCCCATTATATCGTGCATCCCTTATTCTGGCTCCTCTATTTCTACAATAGATCTAAAGCATTTTAGGCCGCTTATATCACTGGACCAAGTTAGACTGAACCACTTGGAAAGTTAGGAAGTCAAAAATTAGAATGAAATATTTATGGTAATTTATTGTTTTTTAACAGAAAAATAAGTTTCCTTTATGTCAGTCGTTCATTGATTTATAAAAAAATTACTTTGTTAAATAACTATTCAGTTTGCAAATTAAATATTTAATATGTTAAATGAGTATTTAGCTGCAAATAAAATATTTTATAAACTAAATATTTAGGATGAAGAGAGCAGGTCCAGTTAGTCACAGTCAGAGAAACAGGACTAAACCCTAATAAAAAAAATTCCCAACCTTATAGTTTTCCTCCACTGTGCCAGAGAACTTTAAGTCCTGCATTTCCAAACAACAGATTTTATTCCTTTTTTTTTTTTTTTTTTTTAAAGCAAACATTCCTCTCCTCCATAGTGATGATGTCGTTTGTTGTGTCCATGTTGGGTTCAAGGCGTCTAACCCACATGCAGAAAAACACTCTTAAGACAGGGAAAAAGTTCTATGATTTTTTACAGTATTTACAAAGGGAAAGATGCACGGGTTCTGGGTTCTGAGGTCTGGTCACAGGAGGAACACCACTGAGGAGGACAGAGCAGTTAGAATGGATCCAGGAAATTAGCAGTTTACTGATGGCGGGGATAAATACCTGATAAGAGAGGATTCTGGTCAGAGTTTCAGGTTTCCAGGCAAGCCAGGATCTGTGAGGCAGAGAGAAACAGGGTCAGACAGGTTCACAAAAATCAGGGTCTAGATCAGGCGGGCTGGCTCAGGTTTGCTAACCATTACTGGCAAACACTCTGGCAGGGAAGTGTCAGCCTCCTCCTCCTTAAGTAGGTCACCTGATGAGCAAACAGGAAACAGGTGTGTTGGAGAAGCTCATGCCCTCAGGAGGAAGATCTCAGGCGCCCTCTGGTGGAGAAGGTGGACAAGCCTCCAGATCCCAAGTGTCACGTGACGCCGTCGCTGCAAAATTGTAACCTGAGAGAAATACTGCAGCTACGGAAACTCCAGGGAGCCAAAAATACGCCGTTATGATAAAAAGTTTTTTTTTTTTTTTTTATCGGCCGCAACATAAAAATTAGAATTAATTGAATCTATTTTTTTGCCCATTAACATCTGTAGTTGGAAAAAAGTATTCAACCATTCACTCCAGTTAAACAGAGATCGATGGATTTCACGCAGTCGTCTTTTTATTTCTATCTTTGCAAACAGAGAACAGTTCATCATATTACTGCATGGTAATCAGTCCTGTTCTGATCCAGCAGCGTTCGTTTCTCATTACTGACAACAATAGAAAGCAGTCAGAGTTAAAATAAAATACAGACACTTTGGTTAAACAGTAACATGTTATGAATAAACCTGAGAAAGAATCTGGTTTGTTATGAGAAGAAGCTCTGCTGATCTACAAACAGCCTCACTCAGGGGAATGTGTCGCCTTGCAGGGGAGACAGACGGAGCTAAAACTTTTATAGTGAGTAAATAGGATAAATTAATATATGAAATATTTTTTTCTGTATTTTTTCTTCCTTTGTATTTTTTTGCCCTATTTCTTTCTTCCATGCTGTTTATTTCTGCCTGTCATATTTATATTTCTGTCTGCATTTCTGCCTCATTATGCAAATGAGGAGGGGGCGTGTCTTAAGGGCTCAACTTCTCCCCATTGGTTGGTTAGCAGCCACAGTCACAACAAACATGGCTGCATACGAGGAAGTTCTCTGAGTTAGCTGAGACATTTAGCGAAAGAAGTCTTTTTTTTTTGCGCATATATTTTTACGGTACCGAGAATTTACAAACATGCCATATATTAGCAAATAAAAAAAAAATGCTTTGATATTTGGGATGGTGTATTTTCTAATATTTGAGTTAGCACAGTCGCTATTGCTAGTCAAAGCTTTCTATACATTAGCTAACGCTAATTAGCATGAGCAAATGTGCAAAATATTAGCAAATATAAAGAAAATTTGGATAATCGTGAAATAGTATTTTTTTTTTTTGGGGTAACTATAAATTGATATATTAGCAAATACGCTAAATATTTTGCTAATATTTTTGTTAGCATATTTGAACACAAGTACTAATTCTAACCCAAATATTAGCATTAGCCTTAGTGGACCCGTTCATCCGTTTCTATTTGCATGTTTTCTTTGTTGGGCTGCTGGATAAAACCTGGAACTAAACGCTATTTCTGACATTTGGAATTGAAAAATCTTCCTGGATGGAAGAGAAACGTCTTCAAACTTGGAAACAAAGAACAGTGGATTGATTTTAACTTTTCTGGTATAAAAAAAAGTTGCTTTGCAGGTGTTTTTACTCTCCTTCTATACAGCGAAGTCAACCTTTGCTAACGCTAATAAAAGGTTTTGCATTTTTGCGCATATATTTTTACGGTACCGAGAATTTACAAACATGCCATATATTAGCAAATATAAAAAATGCTTTGATGATATTTGGGATGGTGTATTTTCTAATATTTGAGTTAGCACAGTCGCTATTGCTAGTCAAAGCTTTCTATACATTAGCTAACGCTAATTAGCATGAGCAAATGTGCTAAATATTAGCAAATATAGAGAAAATTTTGATAATCATGAAATAGTATTTTTATTTTTTTTATTTGGGTTACTATAAATTGATATATTAGCAAATACGCTAAATATTTTGCTAATATTTTTGTTAGCATATTTGAACACAAGTACTAATTCTAACCCAAATATTAGCATTAGCATTAGTTGACCCGTTCATCCGTTTCTATTTGCATGTTTTCTAAACTAAAACCAGGCTTTGTTGGGCTGCTGGGTAAAACCTGGAACTAAACGCTATTTCTGACATTTTGGGTTGAAAAATCTTCCTGGATGGAAGAGAAACGTCTTCAAACTTGGAACCAAAGTTCAGAGGATGATTTTTAACTTTTCTGGTATAAAAAAATTTGCTTTCCAGGAGTTTTTACTCTCCTTCTATACACCAAAGTCAACCTTTGCTAACGCTAATGAAACGTTTTCCATTTTTGCGCAGATATTTTTACGGTACCGAGAATTTACAAACATGCCATATATTAGCAAATATAAAAAATGCTTTGATGATATTTGGGATGGTGTATTTTCTAATATTTGAGTTAGCACAGTCGCTATTGCTAGTCAAAGCTTTCTATACATTAGCTAACGCTAATTAGCATGAGCAAATGTGCAAAATATTATCAAATATAAAGAAAATTTTGATAATCATGAAATAGTATTTTTTTTTTTTTTTTATTTGGGTTACTATAAATTGATATATTAGCAAATACGCTAAATATTTTGCTAATATTTTTGTTAGCATATTTGAACACAAGTACTAATTCTAACCCAAATATTAGCATTAGCCTTAGTGGACCCGTTCATCCGTTTCTATTTGCATGTTTTCTTTGTTGGGCTGCTGGATAAAACCTGGAACTAAACGCTATTTCTGACATTTTGAGTTAAAAATCTTCCTGGATGGAAGAGAAACGTCTTCAAACTTGGAAACAAAGTCCAGAGGATTGATTTTAACTTTATTTGACGTAGAATCTTCGCCGTAATGAACGATATGTCTGAAGATGGACTCCTTTGGTTTTGTCTGCAGGAGGACGAGTCTCCCCGGAGCGTTCTGGAGGAGATGGGTTTGGCGTAGCCCCCCCACCCCTCCGACGACATGGAGGAAGCTGGAAAAGAAAAAGGCGGGATGACTCGGACCGAGAGCGTTCGCTCTGGGATCCCGACGCGCCTTTGGGGTGAAACTCCACGGACCCCTGCTTTGGACTGGCCTCTCGGCCCCCTCTGTGTGTGTGTGTGTGTGTTATCTAATGGTAATGGGCTTTATTTAACGCGCCTGGAGAAGCTGCGTGCTCTGATGCATTTTCCTCCATTATTTTATCATTTTATTCCCCCCCCCGAGGCTGCTGGATGCGAAGAGTTCGATCAATAAGCTAAGCCTGTGGAACACCAGCAGGAGGAGGAACCCGTGGGAAACTGGAGGTCGCTAAAGCCGCCGCGTCGCCTCCAGCCGTCACCGCTAACCACCAACAATAAACACGTTCAGGATTCCAGGGAAAACGTCTGTTTCTGTTCCGTTCTTCTCTCAGAATTCACAGCATGTTTGTTCGGTGCTTCCTGTCGCTCAAACTTCTGTTCACTTTTTTTTTTTTTGTAATTTCACCCTAATTAAGTAAAACCATAAACTGCACCAATGAAAATGTTTGTTCTGATGTGACTGCGGAGAGAAACCTTTAAAGCAGGAGATGCTGGTCGTCATGGAGATCATGTGAGCTAACTCTGCGATGCTGCAGCAGATGCTTCATTCTCACCCTGAGCCCAAAGATGGCGTCAGAGCTGCAGGAAACGCTTCACACTGGAAATAATCCAGATCTGGATCAGTCTTTTGTTCTTGGATTGAGGAGCTGACAATTTACTCTTAAAATAAGAAAAAACAATTGCATTGTCTTATTTCAAGTGCATATTATCTAATTATCTTATTTTAGTAGTAAAATTACTCATTCCATTGGCAAACTATCTAATCTACCTGCTTAAATTAAGGGTAAATACACTTAATTTAAGAACTTTTTACTGATTTCTAGATCGTTTTCCAAGTGCATGGATTCGTTCCACTCTGCACTGAAAAAACAATCTAGAAATAAGTAAAATATTCTCAAGTTAAGTATATTTATCCTTACTTTGAGCAGGTAAACGGGGTCGCCAGTGGAATGAGTATCTTTACTAATTAGATCAAATTAACTTGAAATAAGACGATGCAATTGTTTAATTATTTTAAATGTAAATTGTCTCGTTCTGTTGGCAAAGTGACTTGATCTCCTCAATTCCAGAACAATGGCACTTATTTGAAGAAAAAAATGACTTATTTAGATTTTGTCCCGTGCTAAGATGTCTGAGGCGTCTGCATCTGGAAATCAAAGTTAAGAACCGTAAATAAATGGAAGATTTGTCGCCTCGTACATGTACGGAAGAGGATTAGGGCCACTGGAAAAGAAAAAGTTAACTGATTTTTTTTTATTTTATTTCAGTATAGTATGGGGGAAAAAGTCAAAATTCTGACCTTAATCTCAGAATTCTGACTTTTTTCTCAGAATTTTCTCTGAGATTAAAAGTCAGAACTCTGAGATTAAAAGTCAGAACTCTGAGATTAAAAGTCAGAACTCTGAGATTAAAAGTCAGAACTCTGAGATTAAAAGTCAGAACTCTGAGATTAAAAGTCAGAACTCTGAGATTAAAAGTCAGAACTCTGAGATTAAAAGTCAGAACTCTGAGATTGAAAAGTCAGAACTCTGAGATTGAAAAGTCAGAACTCTGAGATTGAAAAGTCAGAACTCTGAGATTGAAAAGTCAGAACTCTGAGATTGAAAAGTCAGAACTCTGAGATTGAAAAGTCAGAACTCTGAGATTGAAAAGTCAGAACTCTGAGATTGAAAAGTCAGAACTCTGAGATTGAAAAGTCAGAACTCTGAGATTGAAAAGTCAGAACTCTGAGATTGAAAAGTCAGAACTCTGAGATTGAAAAGTCAGAACTCTGAGATTGAAAAGTCAGAACTCTGAGATTGAAAAGTCAGAACTCTGAGATTGAAAAGTCAGAACTCTGAGATTGAAAAGTCAGAACTCTGAGATTGAAAAGTCAGAACTCTGAGATTGAAAAGTCAGAACTCTGAGATTGAAAAGTCAGAACTCTGAGATTGAAAAGTCAGAACTCTGAGATTGAAAAGTCAGAACTCTGAGATTGAAAAGTCAGAACTCTGAGATTGAAAAGTCAGAACTCTGAGATTGAAAAGTCAGAACTCTGAGATTGAAAAGTCAGAACTCTGAGATTGAAAAGTCAGAACTCTGAGATTGAAAAGTCAGAACTCTGAGATTGAAAAGTCAGAACTCTGAGATTGAAAAGTCAGAACTCTGAGATTGAAAAGTCATAACTCTGAGATTGAAAAGTCAGAACTCTGAGATTGAAAAGTCAGAACTCTGAGATTGAAAAGTCAGAACTCTGAGATTGAAAAGTCAGAACTCTGAGATTGAAAAGTCAGAACTCTGAGATTGAAAAGTCAGAACTCTGAGATTGAAAAGTCAGAACTCTGAGATTGAAAAGTCAGAACTCTGAGATTAAAAAGTCAGAACTCTGAGATTAAAAGTCAGAACTCTGAGATTAAAAGTCAGAACTCTGAGATTAAAAGTCAGAACTCTGAGATTAAAAGTCAGAACTCTGAGATTAAAAGTCAGAACTCTGAGATTAAAAGTCAGAACTCTGAGATTAAAAGTCAGAACTCTGAGATTAAAAGTCAGAACTCTGAGATTAAAAGTCAGAACTCTGAGATTAAAAGTCAGAACTCTGAGATTAAAAGTCAGAACTCTGAGATTAAAAGTCAGAACTCTGAGATTAAAAAGTCAGAACTCTGAGATTAAAAAGTCAGAACTCTGAGATTAAAAAGTCAGAACTCTGAGATTAAAAAGTCAGAACTCTGAGATTAAAAGTCAGAACTCTGAGATTAAAAGTCAGAACTCTGAGATTAAAAGTCAGAACTCTGAGATTAAAAGTCAGAACTCTGAGATTAAAAGTCAGAACTCAGATTAAAAGTCAGAACTCAGATTAAAAGTCAGAACTCAGATTAAAAGTCAGAACTCAGATTAAAAGTCAGAACTCAGATTAAAAGTCAGAACTCAGATTAAAGTCAGAACTCAGATTAAGGTCAGAACTCTGAGATTAAGGTCAGAACTCTGAGATTAAGGTCAGAACTCTGAGATTAAAGTCAGAACTCTGAGATTAAAGTCAGAACTCTGAGATTAAGGTCAGAACTCTGAGATTAAGGTCAGAACTCTGAGATTAAAAGTCAGAACTCTGAGATTAAAAGTCAGAACTCTGAGATTAAAGTCAGAACTCTGAGATTAAAGTCAGAACTCTGAGATTAAAGTCAGAACTCTGAGATTAAAGTCAGAACTCTGAGATTAAGGTCAGAACTCTGAGATTAAAGTCAGAACTCTGAGATAAAAAAAGTCAGAACTCTGAGATAAAAAAAGTCAGAACTCTGAGATTAAAAAAGTCTGAACTCTGAGATAAAAAAGTCAGAACTCTGAGATATAAAAGTCAGAACTCTGAGATAAAAAAGTCAGAACTCTGAGATAAAAAAGTCAGAACTCTGAGATAAAAAAGTCAGAACTCTGAGATTAAAGTCAGAACTCTGAGATTAAGGTCAGAACTCTGAGATTAAAAGTCAGAACTCTGAGATAAAAAAGTCTGAACTCTGAGATAAAAAAGTCAGAACTCTGAGATTAAAAGTCAGAACTCTGAGATTAAAAGTCAGAACTCTGAGATAAAAAAGTCAGAACTCTGAGATTAAAGTCAGAACTCTGAGATTAAAAGTCAGAACTCTGAGATTAAAAGTCAGAACTCTGAGATTAAAGTCAGAACTCTGAGATTAAGGTCAGAACTCTGAGATTAAGGTCAGAACTCTGAGATTAAGGTCAGAACTCTGAGATTAAAAGTCAGAACTCTGAGATTAAAAGTCAGAACTCTGAGATTAAAAGTCAGAACTCTGAGATTAAAAGTCAGAACTCTGAGATAAAAAAGTCAGAACTCTGAGATTAAAAGTCAGAACTCTGAGATTAAAAGTCAGAACTCTGAGATTAAAAGTCAGAACTCTGAGATAAAAAAGTCAGAACTCTGAGATAAAAAAGTCAGAACTCTGAGATTAAAAGTAAGAACTCTGAGATAAAAAAGTCAGAACTCTGAGATTAAAAAGTCAGAACTCTGAGATTAAAAGTCAGAACTCTGAGATTAAAAGTCAGAACTCTGAGATTAAAAGTCAGAACTCTGAGATAAAAAGTCAGAACTCAGATTAAAAGTCAGAACTCTGAGATAAAAAGTCAGAACTCTGACTTTTTTCCCATAATAAACTGAAATAAAATTTAAAAATCAGTTAACTTTCTTTTTTTTTTTCCCCACTGGCCCTAATCCTCTTCCATATATGGAACATCAGATGTTTCATCAAAGGTCAGGATTTTCCAGATCGGTCAGAAGTATTCCTGTTACTCCAGTAGAAGCAGAAATCCTGCTGTTTAATAATTCTTTTATAGAAACCTTTTAAAAACGGGAGGAAACTGTTTAAATTGATGTTAAAGATCTTTGCACTCGGCTGCAGAACGATTCAGGCAGGATGATGGAAAAACACCTACACTGCAAAAAAGTTGAATCTACATCAGTCAATTTTTCTTAAAATAAGTGCCCTTTTTCTTAAATTGAGGAGGAAAGTGAAACATTTTGCCAGTGGAACGAGAATTTAGGGTAAATACACTTAATTTCAGAAATGTTTACTTATTTCTAGATTGTTTTTCCAGTGTAAAGATGATACTGGGAGAGAAACCACACTGTAAATCTGGATGCATTGTTAGGAAGCAGCAGTTTTTATATTTGGGTTTAATTAAAAGATATTCTATATGTTTATGGTTAAAAAATAAAAGATAAAAACAATCAAGAATTTATCATCAGAAACAAACAGAATCATTTAACCAATTTTCTTTCACTGCTTAAAAATAAAGAGTTTAGAGGCTTAAATGTTCCACAAACTTTCAAATAATTAAACTTTAGATAAATATCTTATTTTCCAAATGTGTCAATGACCTCCGATTTAATTTTAGGTTTAAAAAGAAATTAGTTTACTAAATATTTTAACCTTTGGTCCCAAAAAAACACAACAGACTAGAGGCGCCCTAAAAATACACTTCAATCTATACTACTGTCACCTTTTATTTCCTATTTCTTTAAATAGTATTTAATGAATTTATCATTTAATTTTAATTAATAGTATAATTATGTTTTAAATAAATATTATTTCCCAATACTTTGATCTTCTTCATGTGTTTCAAGCTGTTAAGACTTTTCCTTTAAAGGCTTAAATGAAATCTGAGACTCAATGAGGAAAATGTTTCTGCTCTAAAATAATCAGCGTTTTCTGGTGTGTAATAAATAAATAAAAACATCTGTAATATGAATGATTTTGATAAATGTTTAGTTGTATTAATCAGATTTTTCAAACTATTAAATGTTTATTCCTCCAGTATAAATCCTGCTGTTTAAAAACACTTAAATAGAAGTTAGAGGATCAACTTCAGCTTTTTACTCGAGTAAAAGTGTAAAAGTAGCATTTTTAAAACTACTTAAAGTATAAAACTAATGCAGAGTAATATTAAAGCCAGAAGCTTT